GCGGGGAAGAGCCCTCCCGCTCGAGCCCCAAGCCCCGCTGCCCGCCCGCAGGTCTGGTACATGGACGGCTACTACAAGGGGCGCCGCGTGCTGGAGTTCCGCACCCTCAACGACTTCGTGACGGGGCAGAACTTCGTGCAGCACCTCCTGCCGCACCCCTGGGCCGGCACGGGCCACGTGGTCTTCAACGGCTCCCTCTACTACAACAAGTACCAGAGCAACGTGGCCGTCAAGTACCACTTCGGCTCGCGCAGCGTCCTGGTGCAGCGCAGCCTGCCCGGCGCCGGCTACAACAACACGTTCCCCTACTCCTGGGGAGGCTTCTCCGACATCGACTTCATGGTGGACGAGAACGGCCTCTGGGCCGTCTACACCACCAACCAGAACGCGGGGAACATCGTGGTGAGCCGCGTGGACCCGCTCACGCTCGACGTGCTGCGCAGCTGGACACGGGCTTACCCCAAGCGCAGCGCCGGCGAGGCCTTCATCATCTGCGGCACCCTCTACGTCACCAACTCCCACCTGGCCGGCGCCAAGATCTACTTCGCCTACTACACCAACACGTCGAGCTACGAGTACACGGACATCCCCTTCCACAACCAGTATTCCCATATATCCATGCTGGACTACAACCCGCGCGAGAGGGTGCTCTACACCTGGAACAACGGCCACCAGGTCATCTACAACGTCACGCTTTTCCACGTCATAAAGACGTCGGGAGAGCTGTGACCCCTCCGGACCACGCGTCGGAGCCGGGCAGCCTTCCTCTTCCTCCCCCTGGTCCTCCTCATCCTCCTCCTCTTTCTCCTTGTCTTTGTCTTCCTCCTTCTCCTCGTCCTCCTTTGACCTTCTTCTTGTCTTCGTCTCCCTTCTCCTCCTTGTCCTCCTACTCCTCTCTATCCTCATCTTCCTCCTCCTCCTGGTCCTTCTCTTCTTCCTCCTTGTCCTCATCTTCCACCTGTTCCTTCTTGTCCTTCTCCTTGTCTTCGTCCTCCTCCTCCTCCTCGTCCTCCTTGTCTTTCTCCTCGTCTTTGTCTCCCTCCTCCTCCTTGTCTTCCTGCTCCTCCCTGTCCTCATCTTCCTCCTTCTCCTGGTCCTTCTCTTCTTCCTCCTTGTCTTCATTTCCCTCCTCCTCTTTGTCCTCATCTTCCTCCTCCTCCTGGTCTTTCTCTTCCTCCTCCTTGTTCTTCTCCTTGTCTTCATCTCCCTTCTCCTCCTGTCCTCCTGCTCCTCCTCGTCCTCATCTTCCTCCTTCTCCTGGTCCTTCTCTTCTTCCTCCTTGTCCTTCTCCTTGTCTTCATCTCCCTTCTCCTCCTTGTCCTCCTGCTCCTCCTTGTCCTCATCTTCCTCCTCCTCCTGGTCTTTCTCTTCCTCCTCCTTGTTCTTCTTCTTGTCTACGTCTCCCTCCTTCTCCTTTTCCTCCTGCTCCTCCTTATCCTCCTCTTCCTCCTCCTCCTCCTCCACCTCCCTTTCCCCCTCCTTGTCCTCCTCCTCTTGTCCTTTCCCTCCTCATCCTCCGTCTCCCCTTCCTTATTCTCCTCCCCATCCTCCTCCTCGTCCTCGCCTCTATTATTTTTATAATCCTTTTCCATTTGTTTCTTGCCGTGGTCGATGGCGCATGGATCTCGTCTGCCTTCATTCGAGCTGACCTCAGTTTGTTTGGTTGGGTTTTTAATTTATTTATTTTGATGGCAAATAAAACCAGTCTCTTTGACATTTGATGCAGCTGGTGCTTTTGTTTTCTTATATATATATATATATATA